GTGTGTGTGTGTGTGTGTGTGCGTGTATGGAAGAGATACCACTTGACTTCACACACCCTGTCATCAGATGTTTCATCCTTCCTGTAAACACCATGCTGACATCCATCCTCATCTTATTTGAAGAGCCACAACAATTTAGCCTCTTATTTTCCTTCACCTTTTTTTTTTTCTTCTTCCGATGCCTTTTTGGTGCAGCCGCTGCTATGGTTACCCAGATGTCAGAGTGCTTTTCCTGAATTTTGATAGACACACACACACACACACACACACACACAGTACCAGTGTCACCACCACATCCTTACATGGATTATGGGTATTAATGCAGCAGACAGTGAAGTGACAGGGCTTTTGGGATGGATGCATGTGTTTTGATGTTTCCTTATGTTCTGAATTGAATAAGCAATGCTCATGTGCACTTGAGCTGGCAGAAGCAGGCGAAGCAGAAGCAGACGTAGCAGAAGCAGGCATAGCAGAAGCTTTGTCGTCACACATTTATCTCCTCGAGCCCAGATTTTGTTCCAACTTGCCAGTCTGCAGCTCCTGCTGAAAGCAATATTGCCCATCTCCGCTGCCGGAAAAAAGTTTCCCCCTGTGTCATTAGAAGTCGGTTGCCAAAGTGATTGAATTCACACTACGCTGGTTATCTTCCCAAAGGTATCTGTCATATTTCTTGAGGCTGACTTCACTTCATATCTGATAAAATTCATAGCATCTGTGAATCTGTGCCGTATGTAAATCACAAAAATACGCTCTTATCGCTTTCTCTGTGTATGTGTGTTTGTGCGTGTGTGTGTGCGTGCGTGTGTATAAATAGAAAACCGCTAATGTTAAATTCCTGCCCTCCTAGAGTAAACATAAGTCTCTGCCATCACTTCCTGGGTATGTAAATATATATAAATCAGCTGTATTGTGACAGCAAATAAACAGAGAAGCACATTAGGGGCGACCAGGCAGAAAATTGCTAGAGTTGGAGAAACACTTGAGAAGACCATCAGCAGAAATATGTATAAACACAAACAATGGGAGAAACAAACACGGAGACAAACAAATTTGCTCTGCTCCAGTGAATCTCAGCGTTGGGCTGCTGAAGCAGACTGGGCCGAGGCTTGGCCCTGAGGTCGGCTCATATGACTTGATTCAGATTAGAGAAAATAGGAAAAATAAGATAACTATTGGAAAAAAGGAAGAGAAAAAGTAACAAAACAGGTTTGTTAGCATTTATTTTAATGTCTACAACCTCGCCTGCTAATTCATTTATTGATTGTGATTTGCCTGCTCGTTTAATTAAGTTGTTCATTCATTTTGCATAGAGTTGCATTCTACTCTGGATATTTCATGTCTCATAAATGAATTAGCGCAGCACAAGATTGACAGCAGAGACATGAAGTCGCTGCCAAGTAACAGTTTGAGGCGGCAGCTTCGACAAGAAGTGACTTATTTTTCATTTTCAAGACTGTGTAAAACAAGAGCTCCGACCTAAACCAGCATATAGAGCAGGTCGTTCGTCCTTACCCTCGGAAATGACTTATTTGAGCAAACCAGCAGCAGGCGTAGCAGACCATTGCAGTTACTTTAACAGTAATACACATATGATTATAAGAGAAACCATGTGTTTGACTGTCGATTTCAAACAGGAGACAAACAGTGTCTCCTGAGTGAACGTTATATTTTGTTGACCCATCCATCCACCTCATCCTCCGCCTAACACAGAATGTCTCACTCTTCATAACTTTCAGCTTTGTTCCTGTCATAATTAATCCTATTTGCTAGAGGTCACCTCACAATAAACCGTAACTATGGGTCACAATAAGCTGCTCACACAGTAAAAGGCTGTAGTAATGACCTGAGCTGCTGGTTATTGATGACCCTAATACTGCCTTCATGTTGTATTGGATGTGTCATAAATATATGTAGCACATACACCAATGTGGCAAATACAAATTTATCAGAAAGCCAAGTAAGCACTGTGAAAAGTTACTACAAGTTTATTTTTGTCACAACTTCTAATCAGGACAGAAAAATAAAGGTAAATGGACTTTTGCCACTATGTAGTGTGATGACCATGTTGACTCAAAGCAATACGTTTGCATGAATGTCATGATTCTACATTTGAAATGAAAAACAGTAAAAATGGATGCATTGGAATCAGAGATAGAACAGTAATTATTTTTTATTCAGAAACTGGCAACATTACCCACAGTGCAACTTGTCAATTGACAGTTCAATCAGAGAGTGGGTGTGTTTTGCCTGTGTGGTTAACGTAGCTGGCAGTGGCTAGAAGAAATGAAGAGTGGGCTACAGAGGACCGGTCTAACTCATTTTCAATCTGATGCTGACATGACGTCACTTGAGGCAGATTATTAGACTTTGTGCAGTTCCTTCTAGTAATCTGATGCTATAAAAAAGTACTGTGATAGTTGAGACCGACAGACTTATGGACGTTACAAGGTAAACTGGTCTGTTTGAGATTACTCCAGAGCTGCCCTCAGATTTAATCTTCCTAAACCTCAAGAAACACATTGCCACCGACCAAGCCCATGCATTTTATTTGAATGCAGTGGCATTTTCCTATTTACCTGAACAAGTTTAGCTTTTTCACCCAGGCTGGATCAATTTCTTCTTAATGCATCATGCAACAGAGAGCACTGAGGCATCGAATTTAGACAAATGTTTCCTTTTCCATTTTTCGGAAAGTGAAGCTTGAAGCTTTTCATGAAGACTCTGGCCGAGTGAAGTCATGTGAATCTGTGGATCAACATGCTCATAATTTATGAGCCAGTGCTGGTTCTGCTTCAGCCGCTCAGAGCAGTTTAACTATCGAGGCACTGACCTTTTCAATAAGTGGAACTGCAACTCAGAACCCTTGTTCTTTCTTTCTTCCTTTCTTTCTATCTTACTTCATGTTATCCTTCCTTTTCATTCATTCATTAGCTTATTTCCCTCATCCCCTTTTTCTAACTTTAAATATTTCTGTCATTTCTTATTTCATTGTTTCCCCTTTCGTTACTTCTTTCATCTCCTGTTTTCTCCCTGTGGTCTTTGCATTGTCCTCTTTTTAGCCCTCCTCCCATTCTTCCCATTTTCCCTATTCATCCCTTATATCTTGTTTCTCCTCCTCTCCCCTCCCTCTCTCTCTTCTCTACCCCTCTTCCCGGGAGGCTGACCTCCTTACTGTCAGTGAAATACAGTCCATGATGCATTGCTGCAGCATGGGGATTGACTCCTGGCTTTGTAGCGTAGCCTCAATGATAATCATTAGCAGGTTGTGTTGGGCTCCAGATGTAAAAAAGGTGAATATAGATATGTGCAGTATTAGCCTCCGTGCTGCTAATTAGAGGATGAATCACCGTGATGACGATCGTATGTCACTGTCAGGTCACCTCACTTTAATTGGACACACCAGTGCATGCATGCATGTATGAATGTGCCAACAAGCACCCACAAGCCAACATCTAATGTATCACTGCTTGAACCATGCCATGCATCTCAGCAGCCACATGGGTTTTCCCCTTTTTGCCCTCCAACAACCTGAGCTCTTCCTTCATCTCCACCCATTTCTTACTCCCTCAACAAGTAAATTACCAGGAGCCAGACACCCTCTCTGTGTGTCTCAGCTGAGGGTGTCAGAGTTACAGCTGCCCTTCCATTGTTTCTGGTTGCAGGAATTCAGGCTGGTACACAGCTCTGCGTTACCCAGCTCGGAGACTCTGGGGCTGGGGCTGGCACCGACCACGCTTCCCTTCTCCCCCTGAGTTTCTCTGGCTGTGCCACTAATAGACTCAGCTTTGTGTATGTGTGTGTGTGTGTGTGTGTGTGTGTGTGTGTTTATGCCCGTGCACGTGTGTTAATTATTCAAAGTGAATTAAAGCTTAAAGATGCATCTCCAGATGCCTCCCTGATCGTTGGCGTGTTTAATGGAGAGAGACAGATGAGATGAGAAGGGAAAGGTGGAGCATCCACAATAAAACATAAGGGGCGGGGTGTGGATATGGCCTAGTTGTTAGAGAAGGAGCGAGCTTGCTAAAACAGCCAAGAGCCTCATTTATGAAAGTATAGGCACACGGAAAAGAAAAAATGCCTTCTTTAAAAAAAAACAAAAAAGAAATCAATGAAAACTTGTCTGTATTTTCCATCCCGCAGGTTTCCCTTAACA